TAGAAATTATTTGGAAAATACTTGCACACCTTGTCTTAAAATATTTTATTCATCATGTTAAAATAAAACGTTCCATAGTCAATTTTTTTAAATTTAATTTTCTTTTTTCAATTTTTCGGGGGGAAAAAGGCTTCAGGAAAAAACAGTTTTTTCCCCAAATTTTTCCGGTTTTTTTCCGGGCCTTCACATCTCTAGTCAGCACGTCTGCCTGTGTATTCCCTGCCACCTTTTTAACATCTAGATACCTTTTAAGGCACACCGATTTATCCAAGTAAGGGGAAAATACACTTGCACAAATCAAGATGGGTAGCCATGTTAGTCTGTCTGTAGCAGTAGAAAAGAGCAAGAGTCCAGGAGCACCTTAAAGACTAACAACATTTGCGGCAGGGGAGGAGCTTTCCTGCGTCCCTGCTCACTTCTTCCGTTTGCACAAATCGTTCGCTCTCTCCTTTGCACGTTGCTCTCTCGTGACTGTTTGCACTCTCCCTTCCCCCATCTAGTACTTCAACTCCAGAAGTTGTCAGCTGGTGCTGGGAGCCGGTGCTTTGCAAGTGGTCGGCTTGAAAACGATAACGACAAAAAATTTAGGTACGGATTCGGTCATCACACTTTCCTTCGGACAACGAATTCCCTTTGAAATTTTCAAGAGAAACGAAAACTGTTCCTAGCCTTTCGGCAAAGGGGGGGGAGGGCTGTGAGTTGTGTCTTAGCAGAGTGGTTTTATTTTGGATTTGTGTGAAGCAGTCAAATCCACTTGCACGGGATCCGGTTAGTGCTTTGTTATAAAGCCACTTTGATCCAAGAGGAAAAGCAAGGTACGAATATTTTAATTATAAAAACTGTAAAATTTAGGTTGTAAAATGAGCTGCCCTTTTGACAAACACTTCATTTGGTCGGTAGTTTGTGGATCGTGCTCGAACCACGAGGAAATGTAGGCTATAAAAATGTTATAGGACAGCAGTTCACTATGGTGACGCGCAAGCCCAGATTTACTTGGCATAGTGACCCATCCAGGTGTTTTATTTCACCTTCAGGAATTTATTTCACAGCCCTGACCTGGGTAGCCCAGGCAAGCCCGATCTCGTCAGATCTCGGGAGCTAAGCAGGGCCGACCCTGGCGAGTACTTGAATAGGAGACCTCCAAGGAATACCAGGGCTGGAAGGCGGAGGCAGGCCACCTCTCTGAACGTCCTTCGTGCCTCAGTAGGGGTCACCAGAGGTCGCCATGACTTCCAGGCATGGGCACACACACACATGCATACACACGTGTGTGCACACACACACGCACGCACACACAAATGCAAAAAATATTTTTTTAAAAACCCAGAATTTATTTCACAAAGATTTAAGACCTTTGATTCGTGAGCCTATGGTGGCTCGATGCTTTTTACAGATGTTATATTCCTCTCACACACACACACCTGTAAATCTGTTCTTTGATCTCTTAGCACCATTACCCCAGTCAAGAGTTGCTGCCATGTTACCTCTCAAGAGTATATGGTTGGTTTTCCTTGTCCCCCTGTTAGGAATGTGGTTGTGGAATGTACTCTAAACAGAAGGAAAGGCGAATTATGTTTAGGAGCAGAATGGATGAACGCTCTTCAAAATGGCTCTGACCTCCTCGGTTTCCCCCCGTATCTGTCAAAAAGGGACTCTGTTATCTGTTTAGTGTGCCAGGTTAGAAGGGAGACACACACACCCCTCTAGCTTGCATCAAAAATGATCATTCTTAATAAATTTGTATGCTCTGTCTGCGGTGGCTCGGTGACTCAGAGGTTAAGACGCTGAGCTGCAGACCGGAAGGTTGGTAGTTTGGCAGTTTGAGACCCGAGTGCCGCGTGACGGAGTGAGCTCCCATCTCTGGTCCCAGCTCCTGCCAACCTAGCAGTTCGAAAGCAAGAAATTACAAGTAGATAAATAGGTACTGCTGTGGTGGGAAGGTAACAGCATTCCATGTGCCTCGGCGTCTAGTCATGCCAGCCAGACAACCACGAAAACAGCTTGAAAACAGAGATGAGCACTGTACCCTAGAATCGGATTTGAGTGGCTTTTGAGCAAGGGAAACCTTTACCTTTATGCTCTGCCACAGCCTTGAGTAAGGCTGCTCTCTCCCAGATTGATCTTGGAGAAGGGGTGTGTGTGTTTTCTGCTGGTTTTTACCAAACTCCCCTAACACTGGCCCATGGCTTTTCAGTACCCGCAACAAACTGCCTCGGCACCCATCTGGACCAGCATTCCATTGCCTACAGTCGCCAACCAGATGTTTTTGAGAAAGCAGCAAACATCCCACAAATGGCACAGCCACCCCCACTGTGAACCCCAAGCAAGTGGCATTCCAACACACACTGCCTTTGCCTATGGAGGTCACATTCCAGCCTTTGACCACCCTCTCCGTCTCCATTAGAGAGAGAGAGCCAGTTTGGTGTAGTGGTTAAGGACGCTAATCTGGGAGAGCCGGATTTGATTCCCCATGCCTGCACATGCAGCTGCAGGTGTGACCTTGGGTCAGTCATAAGTTCTTTCACAGCTGTTCTCTCAAGGGCAGTCCTCGAAAGAGCTCTCTCAGCCCCACCTTCCTCACAGGGTGTCTTTTGTGGGGAGGGGAAGGGGAAGGAGTTTGTAAGCCACTCTGAGACTCCTTCGGATAGTGAAGGGCGGGGTATAAATCCAAGCTCTTCTCCATTATTCCCTCTAATCCCTCCTGGTAACCATCAGGACGTGTTATGCTTGATCAACATGTATATGCAGTGGGGGGGGGATCAACTAATGTATGATATGGAAGATACTGTTTCCAGGGTCAGATCTCAGCTCCCAAAATATAAGAGACCAGTAGAAAGGGCTGGGGCGGCCGTTAGGGAGGGCTGACCCACGACCTGCTTTCAGAGGTTTTGCAACCCACTTTGGATCCTGACCCCCAGGTTGGGAGAGACAGCTGCAGGTGACCTCCTAAAACAGAAGGGACAGTCGACTAAGCTGTTCCACCGACTGCCACCGTATATCTTTCCTTCTTCAGTTCCGAGCATCCCGAATGGGGAAGCGTCTCTCGGAGTAACAGCAGCTCTTGTGTCCTGACCTCTCTCCGCCTTTTCCCTCTCCATCCGCAGCCCTCTCGTCCCGTTGCCTCCAGCTCATAGTGCACTACATTCCCGTTATCCGCGCTCACTTTGAATCCCGCCTGCAGCCCAAACAGTTCAGCATGCTGAGACATTTCGATCACATTACCAAGGTATTTCCGATCCCTCTTTTCTGATTTGAAATATCTGCATCCCGTATCCGGGTTATAGTTGAATGCCAATGCGTCTGCAGTCGGGGTTCCCAAAGTGCAGGGCAGCCCCGTAAAAAGAGGCAGGGGCTCCCAGCTTGTCGAAGGGTGCCCGGCGGCCACTTACGAACGGCTGCGGTTTAACCGCTTCCTTCCTTCTCGGTGCCACGTGAGTCGCCGTGCGCTCATTTGGTAGCACCCGGGAGAAAGCGTGTCCTCGGAGCCTGTTACGGCGTCTCAGAGGCGGCAGATGTTCAGCCATTCTGGCCTCCCCTGTGTATGGCCCGTTCCCAGTGCCCTGCTGTTTTAGATAATACTGTTGGGCACCGGAACTTTCCCGGGTACCTATATCCACCTGATACGAGGCACGGGGGGGGGGGGGGTCTGTTGTTATTGTTTATAGCGTCATCTATTGTTTCATTGTTTTTATTGTTTCATGGATTTTATGTTGTAAGACACCCTGAGACCACTTGTGGGATAGGGTGGGCTATAAATTAAATAAATAAAAATAAATAATGATAATGTAACTTTTCCTCTCTCTCTCTCTCTTTGAGAGCCAGCAAGGTGTAGTGGTTAAGAGCGGCGGACTGTAATCTGGAGAACCAGGTTCAGTTCCGCCCTTCTCCACATGAAGCCAGCTGGGTGACCTAGGGTCAGTCACAATTCTCTCAGAGCTCTCTCAGCCCTCCCCCCTCCAAATAAGTTTAGCTTGCCACCTAAAAGAGTTAGAACTTAAGGCTGCCAGATAATCTTTGGATCTCCTGGCTATACTACCCACAGTGCCATACAATAATTATTGATTTTTTTTCTGGAATAACAGTTTGGTGTAGTGCTTAAGTGCGCAGACTCTAATCTGGGAGAACCGGGTTTGATTCCCCACTCCTCCACTTGCACCTGCTGGATGACCTGGGGCAAGCCGTAGTTCTGATATGAGCTGTTCTTGAAAAAGAGCCGTTTCTGTCAGAGCTCTCTCAGCCCCGCCTACCTCACAGGGTGTCTGTTGTGGGGAGGGGAAGGGAAAGGAGATCGTAAGCCGCTCTGAGACTCCGAGTGAAGGGCGGGGTATAAATCCAATCTCATAATAATAACAATAATAATAATAATACTGGGCAGTTGTCCCCACAGTCCTCTCCTTTCCAGTAACAATAGGGAAGAGCCAGTGTGGTGTTGTGATTAAAGTATCTGGGAAACTCCGGTTTGAATCCCCATTCTGTCAGGGAAGCCCGCTGGGTGACCTTGGGCCAGTCACACGCTCTTATCCTCACCTACCTCACAGGGTTGTTGTGAGGAGAAAATGAAGGAAGGGGTGAATGGCGTAGGCCATTTGGGATCCCCCATTGGGACGAAAAGGAGGTTATAAATGAAGTAAAAGAACAAAAAAATGAATTTGCGTTCCGGGGGTCATGAGGTTTGTGCGGAGGAACAGTCAAGCGCGTTGGTGGGCTGAAACGAGGAGGGACACAGGAAGCTGCCTCATACTGAATCAGACCCTCGGTCCATCGGGGTCAGTATTGTCCACTCGGACTGGCAGCGGCTCTCCAGGGTCTCAGGCTGAGGTCTTTTCACATCGCCCCCTGCCTGGTCCCTTCAACTGGAGATGCCAGGGATTGAACCCAGGAACCTCTGCATGCCAAACAGAGACTCTCCCACTGGGCTACTGCCCCTCCCCGAGACTCAAGGCAGAAAGGAAAATCATACCAAAAACACTCAAGGTCAGCATTGTCCACTCAGACTGGCAGCGGCTCTCCAAGGTCTCAGGCGGAGGTCTTTTCACATCACCCCCTGCCTGGTCCTTTCAACTGGAGATGCCGGGGATTGAACCGGGGACCTTCTGCGTGTCATGCAGAGGCTCTGCCACTGGGCTACTGCCCCATCCCCGAGACTCAAGGCAGAAAGGAAAATCTTACTAGAAACACTAAGGAAGTCCCTCAAGATCAGTTTTGTCTATACTCAGACTGAAAGAGGCTCTCCAGGGTCTCAGGGAGCGGTCTTTCACATCACCTGCTGCCTGGTGGAGACGCCGGGGATTGAACCGGGGACCTTCTGCATGCCCAGCAGGTGAAATGAGCTCCGTCCCTCAGGGTGCAGCTGTGCTTATGGAAAAGGAAGAAGCACTTTGTCCTCTATGATCTCCCCCCTCTCCAACACCTGCTGGCTGTCCCACAGTCCTGGGGTCTCTAAGGGTCGGAAGGGGTGCGGGAACACAAAGGTCTTCTGAACATAGAATGGCAGGATACGGCCCGCTCACAGGTAACCACGTTTTGGGGCTGAGGACGTCACTTTATGACTTCTAGGTATGCTCAGAAGCACAGAATTTGGGAACCTCGGCACAGGAGGGGGAGGGGCCGTGGCTCAGGGGCAAGAGCCTCCGCTTGGCATGCAGAAGGCCCCAGGTCCCATCCCCGGCATCTCCAGTTGAAAGGATCAGGTCACAGGTGATGTGAAAGTCCTCCGCCTGAGACCCTGGACCAGCCTGTGTAGACAGTACTCACTGTGATGGACTGATGGTCTGATTAAGTCGAAGCCGCTTCTTGTGTTCACTTAATAATAAATCCTTCTTCCTTTTTTTTAATTCCAGGATTATCACGACCACATAGCCGAAATTTCAGCCAAGCTTGTAGCCATAATGGATAGCTTATTTGACAAGCTGCTCTCAAAGGTATCCACTGGGGGGATATAATTGTGCTTTTTAAGTAATGTCAGAGCTGTTCGTTTCAGGCAGATTTCTAAACTGGCCCGCTCACAGGACCTCCTGTGATTTGTCAGCGACGTATTCCAGAGCACGTGGCTTAATTCTGTAGAATAATTGCTCGTGGGCTACGAGTTAATGCAGTCGGGTGTCGGTTTGTTACAGTAACTCAGGGTTGCTTTTTGGCCTACAAAAGTGAACAAGTGTAAAGCAGTGTTCCCTCCAGGGATCATTTCTTAGAAAAAGAGGTGCAGGAGCTCATTAGCATAACTCATTTGCATATGCCACACCCCCTGACATCACCGGAAGTGTGTCAGAAGGCAACACCCACCGCTCAGGCTCCACTGGACTGTTTTGGATTGCTAGTTATTGGGGGGAGGGGATGTGCAGATCTGTCCTGGCAGGGGAGGGAGAGCTTGTGCCTGAATAAAACTTGGTCTTAAAGGTGCCACTGGACTGTTTTGGACTGGGGTGCTGGGGGGGCGCTCTGCAACTTACCTGGCTGCTTCTTGCTCTGACTGAGGGCTGCTGGGAGCAGGGGGTGGGGCTTGTTGCATGTGCCCGCCCCCTATGCTCTTTACTATTAACAGCTCTCCTGTGGGCAAGCCAGTATTATTGTACCCATACTTCAGGTGAGTGGAGCGAGGCTGAAAGAGAGGGGCCTGCCTATCGCCACCTATTGAGCGTGTGGCTGAACTGCAGCCTGAGCCAGCAACCTCTCAGATCGCATTCGGGGGGTTTTGAGTGCTTTTGTGCTGTGGTGGTGGAATGCGCTATCAAGTCACGCCTGCCTTATGGTGAGCCCTTAAGATTTCCCAAGAGACATTTCAGAGGTGGTTTGCCATTGCCCGGCTCCGCATCATGACCCCGGTATTCCTTGGAGGTCTCCCATACAGGTACTAACCAGGGCCGCCCCTGCTTAGCTTCTGAGATACGATGAAATCAGGCTGGCCTTGTGCTATGCCAGCTCCCGATACTGCCGTAATCTGTTGCGTGGCCTTTCTTGCCTGATTAGCTGTGGGTCTGAAAGACACTGACTCCGGTTTGGTGTATAATGGCCCACAAAAGTAAGGTGGAATTGGCGTGGCATAATGGCGAAGAACGTGGTGTAGTGGCGAAGAGCGGCGGACTCTAATCTGGAGAGCCGGGTTCGATTCCCCACTCCTCCTCCACTTGAAGTCTGCTGGGGGGACCTTGGGCCAGTCACGGTTTTCTCCGAACTCTCTCAGCCCCACCTACCTCGCAAGGTGCCTGTTTGTGGGGAGAGGAAGGGAAAGGGATTGTAAGCCCCTTTGAGACTCCTTCAGGTAGTGAAAACCAGGGTATAAAAACCTTCTCTGTTTTGCTGAGCTCTTGACATCCAGGTTCTGCCTAACTAGATTCTAGTCCATTAGCACCTGAGAGACCGACAAATTTTGTGTGGGGGGATGGGCAGGGATAAGCTTTTATTTATTTATACACACATACATACATTGGATTTAGGGAACTGCGGTGGCTCAGAGGGTAAGACGCTTAGCTGCAGATCGGAAGGCCTATAGGTCGGCAGTTCGAGACCCGAGTGCCGCGTGATGTAGCGAGCTCCTGTCTCTGGCCCCGGCTCCTGCCAACCTAGCAGTTTGAAAGCAAGAAACTGCAAGTGGATAAATAGGTACCGCTTCAGTGGGAAGGTGACAGCGTTCCATGCGCCTCGGCATTTAGTCATGCCGGCCACATGACCACCGAGAAGTCTTCAGACAGCGCTGGCTCTTCGGCTTGGAAACGGAGATGAGCACCGCCCCCTAGTGTCGGATTCGGCCGGCTTTTGAGCAAGGGAGACCTTTACCTTTACTTACATTGGATTTATTAATCGTCCGATCCCTGCTATCGCCGGGCTCTAGGCGATGTTGTTGTTGTTCAGTCGCACAGTCGAGTCCGACTCTTCACGGCCCCATGGACCAGCTCCCGCCAGGCCCTCCTGTCTTCCGCCGTCCTCTGAAGTTGGCTCAATTTCATGTTCGTTGCATCGATGACACTGTCTAACCATCTCATCCTTTGCCGCCCCCGTCTTCTTTGACCTTCAATCTTTCCCAGCATCAGGGTCTTCTCCAGTGAGTGCTCCCTTCTCATTGGGTGGCCAAAGTATTTGCGCTTCAGTTTCATTATCTGGCCTTCCAGGGAACAGTCAGTACAGTATCCATAAAACACAACCAGATAAAATCATTTAGTAACACATATCCGAAGAAAAGAGATGACGAATACTAATTAATCATATTTCAGACTGCCGGCTACTTCGTGGGGGGGGGGGGGGGGTGGCAAAATAAAGGTAAACAGCAGGAGGAACGAGAACGGGTGCCGGCCAAGAAGGAAACCATCGCTGTCCTCAACCAAAAGCCTGGTGGAGCATCTGCCTTACAGGCCCTGCGGAATTGCATGAGGTCCCGCAGGGCCCTGACGGTATTTGGCAGAGCGTTCCACCAGGTTGGGGCCAGCACCGAAAAGGCCCCGGTCGAGGACAGCCGGATGTCTTTAGGGACAGGGACCCCCAGGGAGTAGTTGTCTGGGGTGTTCTGAGGGTCAGTCTGACGAAGGGAGCTTTGACTCTTGAAAGCTCCTACCCCCAAAATCTTGTTGGTCTCTAAGGGGCTGCAGGACCGGAACCCAGCTCTTCTGCCGCTGCGGAGCAACACGGCTCCCCCTCGGAAACCAGGTTCTGCACAGCTGCTGAAGAGGGAAGGGCGATGTGCCCAGCCGCGTGGATCTAATTCACTGTTGTTATTGCCTTGTGAAGGCACGATGAATGAAAGAAATTGAATCCCACACATTAGGCCAGGCCGTAAAGTGGTTGAGAGGCTGAACTGCAGGCTGTGGAAGGTCGGTAGTTCAGCAGTTCGAGACCCGGGTGTGCCGCATGATGGGGTGAGCTCCCGTCTCTAGTTCCAGCTCCTGCCAACCTAGCAGTTCGAAAGCGAGAAATTGCAAGTAGATAAATAGGGACCCCTTCGGTGGGAAGGTAACAGCGTTCCGTGCGCCTCGGTGTTTAGTCATGCCAGCCACATGACCACGGAAACGTCTTCGGACAGCGCTGGCTCTTCGGCTTTGAAACGGAGATGAGCACGGCAACCCTAGAGTCGGACTCGACTGGCTTTTGAGCAAGGGAGACCTTTACCTTTTAAAGGCCTAAAGGAGAAAAGCTGCTTCTCCAACGGAAATCGAATTACCCGTTCAGCCTTCTGAAGCGTTTCTCTGGCCGTTTAAAAAAATAAATAAATTTATCGGCTCTTCCGAAGTAGAATACACACGATTGCGTTTGCATCTTCTTCTTAAACTAGGTCAACCTCAGACAGTGCGTTTTTGTAATGCTCGGCTTGCCAAAGTTCCTCGCTGCTTCCCAGATTGTGAGCTGGGAGACGTTTTCAGCTCAGTTTGGGACACGAGGCAACTGGTCGGGGAATGGGAGAGACCCCGTAGGGTTTCCAAGGCAAGAGAGGCTCAGAGGTGCCTTGCCACTGCCTGCCTCTGCGTAGCGACCCTGGACTTCCTTGGAGGTCTCCCATCCAAGTCCTAACCGGGGCCGGCCCTGCTTAGCTTCCGAGATCTGACGAGTTCAGCCTCGCCTGGGCTGTAAAGGTTCCATTCAGCCCTGAAGAACATGTTCAGACATTTGCCCGACTCAAGTGACATCTCCGACATGTCCTGGGAGTGAGTAGAATTATGTTTATATTTGATTTCTGCAGAGGTCATTTCGGGGGGGATCGCGGGGGATCGCAGTTCCCCCGGGTGAGGTACGGGGGGCGGGGCACATGACGAAGCCCCGCCCCCTGCTTCTGGCCGCCCCGCTTCCGGCCCTCATTCAGCCAGGAGAAGGCAGGAGAAGAGGGAGGGTAAGTTGCTTCCTCCCTGCCGCTCCCCACCCCTGCCTGCCTGGGGCCAGGGAGGGCCTTCGCGGGGCTTCCTTGCACTCCCGCCGGCCTTGCAGGTCCACCGCCGGGCCCCTCATGGGACTCGGCAGTGGAGCTGCAAGGCCGCCGCCGGCCGGGACCATTGGGGGTGGGGTGTGTGGCCTTATGACACACTTCCGGTGATGTCAGGGGGTGTGGCATATGCTAATGAGTTATGCTAATGAGTTCCCCTAGCTCTTTTTCTACGAAACAACCCCTGGATTTGTGTAATTAGCTGTGCTCAGGGTAGACAGTATGGCGATATGAAAAAAACACTACCACTGAAAGATGCTCTTCTTTTGTCATTTAAGAAGACAGTTCTTTGCATTTTATAGCATCGGGAAGGCAGAACTCTAGGCTGGTCTCTGCAAAATGTGAAGACTTTGGGGGATATCAGCTTGGAGACCACACACAAACATTTCCCCACAAATATTTAGGACTTCTCTGAATTAAATCTTTAAAAGTAAAGGTAAAAGGTTTCCCTTGCTCGAAAGCCAGTCAAATCCGACTCTAGGGTTGCGGTGCTCATCTCCGTTTCCAGGCCGAAGAGCCAGCGCTGTCCGAAGACCTTTCCGTGGTCATGTGGTCGGCATGACTTAAACACCGAGGCGCAAGGAACCCTGTTAGCTTCCCACCGAAGCGGTACCCATTTATCGACTTGCACTTTCTTGCTTTCGAACCGCTGGGTTGAATTAAATCTTAAGCTTCTGCTAATAACTGCATTGTTCCAGGTCAGCACAGTCTCTCCTGCAAACTGTCGTTTAGAACTGAGCAGTCAGCAAGGAAAGAAAGAACGCCAAAGGGCTTCTTTGGTTTTTACTCCCGATGCTTTCGGCGGTGTAAACGAAGCAAAAAAATAAAACAAAAGAGTGGCCATGTATCAGTAGGGTTTCCAGCTCTGGGTTGGGAAATACCCGATTTGGGGGGGGGGGGAGCCTGAGGTCAGCCTCATTGGTACACAATACCATAGAGCCCACCATCCCAAGCCACCATTTTCTCCAAGGGAACGCAACTCTGTCGGCTGGAGATCAGTTGTAATTCCAGGAGATCTCCGTCTACCAGCCCCTAGCCAGTGTGGTGTAGTGGTTAATCTGGGAGAACCGGGTTTGATTCCCCACTCCTCCACTTGCACCTGGCTGGATGACCTTGGGCAAACCATAGTTCTGACAAGAGCTGTCCTTGAAAAAGAGCAGTTTCTGTTAGAGCTCTCTCAGCCCCACCCACCTCACAGGGTGTTTGTTGTGGGGAGGGGAGGGGAAAGGAGTTTGTAAGCCGCTCTGAGACTCCTTTGGGTAGTGAAGGGCGGGGTATAAATCCAATCTCCTCCTGTTTGGTGTAGTGGTTAAGTGCGCGGACTCTAATCTGGGAGAACCAGGTTTGATTCCCCACTCCTCCACTTGCACCTGCTAGATGACCTTGGGCAAGCCGTAGTTCTGACAAGAGCTGTCCTTGAAAAAGAGCCGTTTCTGCCAGAGCTCTCTCAGCCCCACCCACCTCACAGGGTGTCTGTTGTGGGGAGGGGAAGGGAAAGGAAATTGGCAGCCGCTCTGAGACTCCTTTGGGTAGTGAAGGGCGGGGTATAAATCCAATATTCTCCTCCTCCTCCCAAGTGTCAGTATTCACAGCAACCTTTCGTTTCTGTTTCCAGTACGAGGTCAAAGCCCCCGTCCCTTCCACCTGCTTCAGGAACATCTGCAAACAGATGGCGAAGATGCACGAAGCAATCTACGAGCTCCTTCCCGAGGAGCAAACGCAGGTGAGCCGTCCAGAGTAGCCCCTCGGGGGCCGTTCTGTCCTCCTGCTCCCCGGCCCCGCTGGATTCCGTGAGCGAAGCCTCCACTCCGGGACTCCTGACAGTGGGCCGGATCCCATCGTCCCGTAATGGAAGAGAAGCTTCATGGAGCGCAGCAGCTCCTTTTTGTGCAAGATCAAGTACTCCTTTTTCATTTCCGGTGTACCCAAATCAGAAGGCAAAAGGCCAGTCTAAACTGGGACTGCAATGTGATTTGGTTGCAGAAGTTCATTGTCAGGGAAGGAGGGAGGCGGGAGTTGCCGAAATATGCCCGGTGCTACGTCTTGGGCAGGCAGAAATCCAAGATGGGGCACCGTCAGGTTGACTTAGTGCCAGTGTTCCCCCTAAACCGTGGAGTCTCGTGAGCAAAAAATTCTACTTGGTGAGTTACTGACGTCAAAGTTGTGAGCAAGCGATTTGGCCACTGCATCAGTTAGTTTGCCCCGGAGCCATCCTTCCTGAGCTCGGACAAAAATGTGTGAGCCGGAGGCTAAAAAACTGTGAGCTAGCTCACCCTAACTCAGCTCAGAGGGAACAGTGCTTAGCGCCAGGGCTACCTGCAAAGATCCAGGGCCAGATTAAGGCCAAGTGATGCCCTAAGCACAGCCCAAACTGTGGCGCCCCTTTTTAACCTTTAGTCACACACCATGCCAAAGAAAACATTTTTTACCAGTGCAGATTAAAGCTGAACACGGCAGAAAAGGACAACGGCAAAAAAGAGACCAAAGTTGAGTGTGGCAGTGAAAGAGTTAAGGGCATTCTAGCTAGTAGGGGACACTGAGCTAAATTTGGTGTAGTGGTTAGGAGCGAGGACTCTAATCTGGGAGAACCGGGTTTGATTCCCCACTACTCCACATGCAGCTGCTGGTGTGACCTTGGGTCAGTCACAAGTTCTCTCAGAGCTGGTCTCTCAGGAGCAGTCCTCGAAAGAGCTCTCTCAGCCCCGCCGACCTCACAGGGTGTCTGTTGTGGGGAGGGGAAGGGAAAGGAGTTTGGCAGCCGCTCTGAGACTCCTTCGGGTAGTGAAGGGCGGGGTATAAATCCAATCTCTTCTTCTCTCTTCTTCCCTTGGTGCCCTGAGCCATGAAACCTGTCTGAAGGTCAGTGGGCACCATGTTGGGGATACCTGGTGTAGGACTAGGATCTGGGAGACCCAGGTTTGATTCCCTGCTCTGCTGTGGAAGCTCACTGGGTGTCTTTGGGCCCCCGCTCTGACATGGCCACCCATCTTGTTCTGCCTACAGTCAATTAAGCATCCTGCACTCTTCAAGGGAATAAAACCTCAAGCGCTTTCTTTCTTGTTTTCGCTTTGTCCCCTAGATGCTGTTCCTACGCATCAACGCCAGCTACAAGCTCCACCTGAAGAGGCAGTTAGCCCATCTAAACGTCGTCAACGACGGAGGGCCTCAAAATGGGTACGTTGCCTCAGGAGTACATCTGGCTGGTGCGTTTCATTTTCCTTCCAAGCTTCCGGCCTGCAGGAAGAAAGCCACCGACGGCCTCTTGTCTGTCGGCCACAGTGCCGTCTGCCAATGACATTCACTTAATCACAAGCCGCAGATTAAATCGCGTTTGCTAGTTTGGCAAACCGTCTCCGAATTTGAAGTTTACAGTGCTTCTAGGCGTGGCAGAGCAGGGAGAAGCGTTAAAGGTAGGTGTAGAATCTTGTGACACAGAACCTGAAGAGGAAGGGGCCAGCTTGGGTTTATCAGGGGCCCCAAACCCAACAGAACTACCACCAATGTTCCCTCTAAGCTGTGGAGTCTTGTGAGCAAAAAAATCTACTTGGTGAGCTACTGGCATTGAAGTTGTGAGCAAGCAATTTGGCTCCTGCATAAATCAGTTTGCTCCGGAGCCATCCTTTTCCTGAGCTGAGACAAAAATGTGTGAGCCGGCGGCTAAAAAACTGTGAGCCAGCTCACACTAACTCAGCTTAGAGGGAACACTGACCACCACTACCCTGGCCATTTAATGCCTCCAGGGATACCTTATTAATCTTTCTCACACCTCCTTTTGAATGTATTAAAGTGGCTTGAACATGCAGCTCAGAATCCTCTAAGGAAGAACCCTCGTGCTAATCAAAGCTGGGTGGGTGAGGCAGCGTGGAAGAGATTCCAGAGGTACAGCTCTTAGCAGAACTACGGCTTGCCCAAGGTCATCCAGCAGGTGCAAGTGGAGGAGTGGGGAATCAAACCAGTTTGGTGTAGTGGTTAAGTGCGTGGACTCTAATCTGGGAGA